AAAAAAAAAAAAAAGGAAAACAATATAAAATGGTAAATCATTCATTTACCAAAAAAGGAATAGGCTGAAGCCAAGGCTTATACTTGCCTACCCTATTCATAGACTCAGCAGTCTACATAATGACAGATATCTACTGTCCATATACATGAATAAGTGTTCAAACAGACATTTACTGTATATTTAAATATGCATGTATAGAATACATACACACACTCATGTTATATACATACATGGTTACACAATACATATATACATCTACATAACAGTTTAAGCTTTTATAATTTTACATTTTAAGGCTCTTTTAAAGCTCACCAAAGAAAGCACATAATTTGAGATCTTCATTCATTTCATTCCACAGTTTCACGCCGATAACTGAAATACGTCTTGATTTTACTTTACTTTTCTTTTTAGCTTGTTCAAATATTAACAAACCTCGTAAATTATATTTACTCTCTCTTAACTTAAATAATTTCTGAATTCCAGAAGGAAGACTTTTTTTCAGTGCTTTATACATTATTTCCAGTATTTTTATATAAACAATGTCATTCAATTTTAAAGTATTACTTTTAATAAAAAGTTTATTAGTTGGTTCACAATATCCCACTTTATTAATAAGCTTAATTGTTTTGTTTTTTTGTAACTTTATTAATATGTCAATAGTTGTTTTATTTGCATTTCCCCATATTTCTGAGCAATATGACATGTAGGGCATAACCAAGGAAGAGTATATAATATGCAAGCCTTTTACGTTTATTAAATCTTTTATTTTAAACAATATTCCAATGGTTTTTGCTATTTTATTTCTAACATATTTATTAATATGAGGCTTCTGAAACGGAAAACAAAAAACTGCACTTTTTATAGTTTTATTATAAATCACTTGTAACTTTTAGAAACAATTACTCGGACAGATTTGTGTTTAATTCAGTCAATGTTTGAGAAAGTACATGATTTAGAGAGCTGTTGTGGAAAAGGAGATGGACATAGATGATAAAGGTAAAACTATAAATGTCACAGTATTAGCTGAAGTTAATGTAGTATTTCAATCAACTGCAATAAAATACTGTATAAATACCCAGGGGATCCTGAAAAAATCAAGGTTCATTTGCTGGATTGGGACTCTCAAAAGTGTAAAATATATATTTTAATCTTTTACTATAGTCTGTTTACAGCAGCATTATATCAGTGTTGTGTTTTCTGTCTCCAGTACTTCTCCAGAACGGATCGGGTTTTAAAACACAGACGAATGTGTCACGAAAACAGAGAAAAGAAGACCAACAAGACCACTGGTAAAGGTGGGCCTGTGCGCGAAGCCGATTCTTCAGGATCTCTGTTTCTTCCCAAAGATTGTTCTCTACCGAAGAAAAAGCGCCAAAAATGTGCAGAAAAGAGTTTAGGAACTTCTGCTGCCGCCCACACCGACCGGCACACCTTTGCTATGGAAGAAACCGAAGAGAAGGAGGAGCAGAGTCGAGATAAAATAGAAAGTCCGTCACTATATAATGTGACCTCCAAGGTCAAACATGAATATGTGATTGCTGACTACTCAGTGGAACTTCCTGAAGAAACAGCCAGCGAACACGAAGACGAACAGTTGACGCCAGAAGAAGCGACCCCACCTAAAATCGTGTTGAAGAAAGTCCCCAAAGGCAGTCTTAAACAGTCCAGTGAGCGCACCCCTCCATGTTTGCCCACCTCCTTGTCCTCCTATGAGGAAAGTGATAAAGTGGGACAGTACTCTTTTGAAATCGTGGACAAGCAAAGCCTTTTAGATGCCGAGGGAACCTCTGAACTCGAATCAGTCGAAACTCTCCAAGAAGGACCAACAAAACCGGCAGCCAGCAGCACAAACTACGAAGATGCCATGCAGTTTCTCAAGAAGAAGCGTTACCTTCAAGCTGCCATGGCCAACAACGGTCGGGAGTACAGCCTGATTACAAGCAGCATCTCTTCGCAGCCGTCCGTCACGCAAACTGTGTCAACTGTCATTGATGAAACTGTCCCTGCCACCATCCTGGAGCCCCAGCCAATCAACACTGAGATAAAGACGACTCATGAGAAAAGCGTTTTGCCTGATGAGGTTCTTCAAACCTTGTTGGACCACTACTCCAACAAAGGTAATGGTCAGTCAGACATTTCTTTTAGTGTTGCTGACACAGAGGTGACCTCGAGCATATCTATTAACTCCTCCGACGTTTCAGACAGCAGCCCCGTGGACAGCCTCGGAGCCTCCAGTGCCCAAGCTCAGCCGCCTTCTGAAAAAGTCAGTCTCTTGCAAGAATACTCCAAATTCCTGCAGCAAGCGCTGGAGAGGACCAGTCAGAACGACAGCTACCTGACCAGCCAGAGCCTCAGTTTGGTCTCCGAAAACCCCACGTTAGCTGGACAGCCTCTGCTTTCCACAGAGAAACAGTTTTCCTCTCCCAGCAGGTTCAAATCAGGGATGAGCTCTCCAATGAGATCCACTTTAGACAAACCTCATTTTGGATTACTGGTAGGAGACCCCCACCACTCGTTCTCGTTTTCAGGTGACGAGACCACTTCGCCCTCTGCTGAGGAGGACTTCTTGGAGCAGGTTTCGCCTTCTAAAAAAACGGACTCCTCACAAGGGATGCTGCAGACTTTCCAGATAAGCTCTTTTGAACAGAACTTCAAATCACATTTCCAGACATCAAGATCTGCATCGTCCTCGCAGTTTACGGTCACCAACGGACAAGTAAGCCTCCGAGGACACAGCACGGACTTCTCAGAGTTTTCTTTAGGTCGAGTCCCAGAGGCTAGATCTCAGTTGAACTCCTCCCCTGACGTTTCAGCCAGTGAATCATTTGGCTGAACAAAAGAGAGGAAAAACTTATTTTTTGTTCATTTTAGCAGCACTTTATCTCATTTGTCTTGTTTTGCCAAAACAAATATCACAATTGTGATTTTTTTTTTTCTTAAAGCAGTGGGAGAAAAAAATTATCGTGTTTCGTTTCTTAACCCGAAATCTTTGATATCATATTTATAACTCTCAAAATTCGTACTATAATAATAGTTTCTCATTTGAAGAAAAAAAAACATTTCTTCTAGAATGTACACTGAGAGGTTAAGTGACCAAAGTGTAATGCTAAAACATTCATAAATATTCTCATACCATTGCCACCATAGAGTTTATTTTTTACGTGGGCATTGCTTTGTCTTGCTCAAAAATCAAAAGTCACATTGCTTTATGCCATGTTTCCTGTCAGCTATAAAATTATGACCACCTGCCTTATTATAAGTAGGGTCCTGGTTTTTATTTTTTATTGTCTTAATTAGTTTTGACTAGGGATGCGCAATATTATCGGCATGTATAGGTATCGGCCGATATTAACGATTAAGTTAAATATCGGACATCGGCCATTCCATCAAAATAACTCACAGATATGAAAGGCACAGTTTATATATATATATATATATATATATATATATATATATATATATATATATATATATATATATATATATATATAGCAGGACAAATTGACAAATATCATTTGGTATTGGTATCGGTTATCTGCCAAATAAGTTTTAACATATCGGCCAAAAACCCAATATCGTGCATCCCTAGTTTTGACCAGTCAGGGACAAATAACATCTTGTAAAGTTCCTGGGTATCTGTTACCATTGCGCTGTCAGTGAATGCATCACGTTCTTAGTTTAATTAATCTCATGCAGTTTATAAACAGCGTGCAGCAACAAGCTGTGAAGTTACTTTCCCAGTGGTCATAATGTTATGGCTGATTAGTGTACGAAGGCTGTGTTTCTGTACGCCTCTTTGTTTTCTTTAGCTACCTCCCTTTTGCAGTTCATCTATTGAAATAATTTATATTCAATAGAACTCATAGCAGCTCTTAACTTATTTCTGACTCGACAGCACAATCATTCTTCACTTTATGTTCAAGTCACTTTATTCTCACCTGAAAGGAATCTTTCCACTGGATGTGTGTGTAATGGTACAGGACTGATTGTATGCTTCTGGTCTAGTTCATTTCCTGTTGAAAAGCTGTCTAATCTGGTTGGCGTGGTCACCAAAAATGTACAAGTTCTTGTTTAACCTTCGATGTTTAACACCGTGTGGACAGCTGTACAAACTTGCCCACAGGACAGGCCGTGTAATAACTGGTTCACATTAGATTCAAAACCAGTTTGTTTCGCTCCGAAATCTAATTTTGGCCTCAAACAGCTGCGCACATGAAATGGTTGCAGGATAATTTTTCTTTTAGTAGTAGATGTGATTAGTAATTCGTTTACTTCAGGATTGTGCTTAGCTTATGCACAATTTGCACATTTTTCTCCACAGGGAATGTCAGATGTACAGTCAAGGACTTAACGCTGAGATTTACGACACGTTTTATTGAAATGACTAAACCTGCTCTTTGCTTTGGTCACTTAAATGGATGCAGCTCTTTGTTCTGTGTTTTGTCATTTTTCATGGTGGAGTTTAAACCGATTTTGGGAAAATGGCAACAAGATGCCAACAATCATCGTTTCAAATAAATATATTAAAAAAGAGCGCACACAGAGAAATGAAAAGATTGGGTCTTAATGTAATTTATTTAGCTTCTGTGCCTTTTTTCGTTTTTTTTTTTACAGCACTTGCTGTTTTACTCATTCCTGCAGATGTGTTTTAACACTTCAGGCGATATTTTAAGGCTAATAATTTCTCTTGCACAATAACCACAACCACATAAGCTATCAACTTACTCTGGAATATGTTGAAGTAGGAGCTTTATTTAATTTAGCCTGTTTATTATTTTAAATTGTTTTGAACAAACTAATAATTCTCAAACCTTTGTCTCTCAGAGGAAATGGCATTTCATCACAGCTTTCCATGTGCACGACATCTTGGGTGTTTGTTTAAATCATTTTGTTGTAAGACTCCTTGTTACAACTGACAATCAGGGACAGACGACACCGCATTAATAATCAGATCTTATCCTCTTCATTACTGACCACCCCCTCTAGAATGTATAGAAAATATCTTGCTGTAAATACATTGTATATTTTTTATGTTCTACAAAGTATTGTTAGGGTTCCCAACTCTGGTCCTTGAGGAACACCATCCTACATGTTTTAGTTGTTTCTCTGCTCTAACGCATCAGATTCAGTGGTGTAATTACTTCCTTAAGTTTGGCAGAAGCCTGTTAATCACGCTTTCATTCAAATCGGGTGTTGGAGCAGAGGAACAACTAAAAAGTGCAGGATGGTGTTCCTCAGGGACCAGGGTTGGGAACCACTGGTTTATCAGTAAGGAGAAAAGGTTTTGTGCAAGAGACACTTTTTGTCAGCGGAGGGCCTGTTTGATTTCAAACATAGAATTAAGCGAAGAAACTTTCATTGACATTATGGGGCTTTCTAAGAATTGTCTCCACCTCTCGAAAGAAAACGGACACCTTTCAAAGTTTTATTGCCGATTTGTTTGAGTAGATTTTAAATTTGAGTCTACTGTTGAAAAAGGAGTGATGGAGGGAGAAACCGTGGAGCAAAACCACCTAAAATATATATTTCAGTAACAAATATTTAATTTGAGCACGTTAGATTGGCTTAATTATGGCAAAAATTAAATTTTGTTGTAATTCTTTACTAGGTACCCATTTATTGTAAGCAATCTTTCAAAGCACAATATATATTTTAAACGTTTTATTCCATTTTGGAAAGTGTTCAGTTTGGAAATTAGTTGCGTCCCACACTGTCAGACATTTATGAACTAAGCAGTTCTCTTATTTTATCTTTGTAACTATTGTCAGTCTTCTGGCCGTAAGTGTCCTTGTATAAGCTGGAAAAAAAAATCTTTGTTTTGTGTATAAAAAAAAAAATCTGTATTATAAATTTTTATAAAAATATTTTTGAAACGCGTCATATTCTGCACTGATATGTATAGTGAATCAAAGTCAGTCACTCTTGCTGCCCTCGTTTATCTCTTTACGAGTCGTTTCTGTCAACATCCTTCAACTAGAGGAGAATTTGGCTTTTTTTGTACTTTGTAGAAAGACTTTGTTGAAGAGGCCCTGTGCTTCTGTAAAGGTTAGCTTCATTTGCATGGTCTCTGACTTGTCACGTCGAGTAAACTTGTTTTCTGAATAATGTGCAGCTTTAATTGTAGCTGAATAATCAGTCGAGTAACCCCATATAATTAGAGCTTTGCAATATATTATGATTTGTAAGCAATCTGATTCAGTTGTTTTTGATTGTCGTGTGTCCTGTCCTTATGAATAAAATTATTTACAGAATGTGAACTTGTATTGTTACATAGTCATGTTCTTTTTTTTTGTTTAAAACAACAATTTGAAGTTCAGACACTAACAAAAAAAATGCAATGTTTTTTTTCTCTCTGCTGTATTAGTTGTATTCAGTGTTTGTTCAGTGTAGTTTGGTCCAAATCCTCAAACTATTAAAAAAAATGGGAACCTGCAACAGAAATTAAAGATGATTGCAAGTGGAAACCAAAAATTCATAAAGGAAACTAAAACGTGCACAACTTGTTCTCATCGATGGTTAAAGTGTAAGGAGATTATGGAAATTATTCATTTAGTTTCTTGATTTATTAACAGGGCAGCACGGTGGCTGGTTCAAATCCCCTGACCATTACATCAAAATGTGGGTGGGAAAGGTGAAGGGGTGAGGAGTCGCCTGAAAATGAGTTTAATGAGTGATTTTACAGATAATGGTTCTTGGGATGTAGAAACCTGGTGAATGAAAAAGCAGAAGGTGTCACTGTTTGCAACACATCGAATATTTAACATGTAGGAAAAATTCTCGGGACGAGGAGCGTTTGGATCAGTGGCTAAATGCTGGAACGATGGCGCACATCATGCAGTTGCTCCGAAAGTGATGGCAAAAGAAGATGGCTATTCAGCTGGTTAAAGATTTGGAAGCAATTTTACATCTCAGAAAGTTACTGGTTTCTGCGTGGGATGATGTAGAGCAGCCAACTCGAGATCTGAAAGTCCCAGGTTCAATCCCCAGCCATTCCCATGTCATGGTGTCTGAGCAAGACATCTAATCCCCAATTGCTCCCCGGGCACTTCTAGCTGCCCACTGCTCCTCCTGGTTGCATCCCAGGTGCGGCAGATAACTCATTTCTTCATTGTATGGGAACATACAATGATGACAACACTTCTATGCATCAGATCTGTCCCTGCTTCATTTTTTTTTTTAGCTACTTGTCCAAAGACGGTACGATTTTATGACTCCAAGTGATTTTCACCTCTAAGGGCGTCTTAAGAGTAGAGCACTTGCCAAACCAATCTTTCACCGCATTGAAAGGTCTTGAAATGACCAGTACTGGCATTAAAATAGACAACTTGATGATGATAAATCCAATGGTCTAGTCTAATTTTTGTAGTGGATATACTGTGCTTAGAAAACCAAAGTGCACCTGTTAGTACAATGTAATTGTTAATTTATTTAGATTTTTAAGCATATTGAACATTTCAACATTTCTCTGATGCTTTTATTTGAATAAATGCACAACAAACTTTGTACAACAGTTGGCTTTGTATTAAAAGCGTTATAGAATTTATAAAACAGTATCAAAGCAAAACATGTTCAAGTATTAAGTAAGTACAGAGGTATTATACAAAAAAAAAAAACCAGGTTGAACCAACTCATTGTGTCTATAAAATGTTCCAAATGTGTTGACAATGAATGAGCCCATGTCATGTATCACAACCAATGATGCATGACGGAGGCTCGTGTCATTGGCCACTTTTAAGTGGGTATACTGAAATTCCCAAGTTTTCCTAGTGGGTATACTCCGTACACCTGCATAGACTACACCGCTGGATAAATCACAACTCCAAACCCTTTAGAGTTAAGCTAATTGAGTTTTGGTCTTTGTCGATTAACATCTACATTATTATACCGTATTTTCTGACCTATAAGTTGCACCTTGAATACCCTGCGACTTATACGCCTAAGCGATTTATTTATGGATTTTTTTCCCCCATATTTATAACCCAATTTTTGGCTGAAATATGACAGTTTTCATTCATTCTGACAATGAAAATATTGAACACTATCATTTTCAGCTGTTAGATGGCGTTCGAGTAGTATGGCATGTCATTGTGTCATGTAATGGGTAAAAGTGGCTATTAATGACACAATCGACTTGCCATGATTTGACCGTCAAAGTACATTCATTAAGCAAAAGTTTAGACTGAGACACACCTTGGCTATAATTTCAAGCAAACAAATAATTGCTTTTAAGTGTTAATCTTGTTAATTTATTTTTAAAGTCCTCCCGTGCATGCTCTCGCGGCCGCCATTTGGCAGCCAATCGATTTTTGGTACAACACCGGCCTATATTTCCAGGTTGGGCTCACATTTTCGGGTTGTCATCGGTGATGCATAACAAACGCAACACATCAGTGGTGACGCATTAGGTGCAACTTATACGGCAAAGCGACTTATTTCCAAATTATTAGACCTTTTTGGACAGATGCCACTTATACTCTGGTGTGACCTATAGACCAGAAAATACGGTAGTTGGATTTATTTCTGGCTACAGTTTAAACAGCCCTGACATTCTTACTGGGATTCCCCCACAAATGAGGCAGTTGACTGGGGTCTTGCCTGCACTTTGAGTGAGCTTTATCTTGATCAGGACATGTTTCTGGGCGATTCAGAATACAAAATCATTTATAAATCTCCTTGGGCAGTCTGATAACGATACTTGACAAGAGAGTGCCGAGTCAGACAGTACTTTACGCTTGACCGGGCCAAATCTGAAAGTGGAGGTTAAAAACAGCAAAATATTTTCAACATGACTCTGGAGAGAGAATTGGAGGAAAAAGAAAAAAAAAAATGCCGGTACTGATTACCAGTCTTAGGATGGTTTTCTAGAAATGACATCCTATATTGACAACCCTCATGAAATACAAGATATAAAAGCATTCTCATAAAGATCCTCGAGGTCAGATTCTCCCAGTGGATGTGCTAAACCAGTTTCATCACAACGAAGCATCTTTCTATCTGCAATAATTCCAATGTGAACACCCCCAGAAGTAATGTCACAGTGTCAACCCAGGAGCGCAGAAGATTTACCCACGGACTGTCTCCATACTGAGAGCAGCTGCATCTCCTTACGTGGGATTGAAGATGAAACCTGCTTGAAGCGTGGCTTGGACATGGTTTGCTCCACAAGTCTTGCTTTAGATGTAAACAGCACTCCAAGTGGCTCCTGCTTTGAATTTGGAAAGGTCTTCATCTCCATCCTCCTGTGCCAGAACCAGAAAACTGTAGCCATGTGCCGTGACGCTCCTTTTCTTTCTTGAAAATAAATAAATAATTTCTTTCTGTTGCAAACATAAACAGGGAGTTCTGGAGGAGTACAAATCTACAAGACAAAAATGCATCAACAATTTAAAAAGTGACTTATGAATGGAGAAAACTGATTATCTTATAAAAGCAGACATGTAATGGTGTGTGTATTCATAAATATTGTCTGACGTCAAAAAGCAAAGGCAGAATTTGTATGTTGCCAAAACATCCCATGAACCACATTTAATATAATTAAAGTATTACAAGTAATATAACTAAGTAACTTACAAGTTATACAGTTATTGAAAACTCATGCAGTATTCAATGGATGCACTGCTTTTGAAGTCAACCTGAATCAAAATGGCTTTCACAGCCAATAGAACTTAAAAACACACCAAATGTCTATAGACAATTCTATACTGAGTTCAATCGTGATGTGGTAGTAGCGGAGAGTAGTCATAACGAGCTACCTTGTGATAGAACATGAGAACCTTTATTAGAGTGCATGTTTAGTTAAAAATAATAATCACAAGACTAGACGATCTTTAGCTTATCACACAAAATTATACTGGACTAGCTTGAACCGGTTCATCAGACTCGGAAAAACTGCACGGTTTGCCTCCCTCTCTGGAGTTGGGGAACTGTTAGATTTACGAGCTGCAATTGAACGCGCCATAACGGAGCCGTAACGAGCGGTGTAGAAGCGCAACATGTTTTTCGGAAGTGTAAGTCGCGCGCGTTGTGGTGACAAACTGCGATGTGGCCTTTTGCCAAAACCAACTAAACGCAGGATCCTTGTGTAAATGCAGCAACACACCCTGGAAAGGCAAGCAGAGGCACATGAAGGCGCTGTCAGCAACACGTTGCCATACTGGCAGGAATAATTATTACCGAGGATATAATTAGTTTTTATTTGTCTTTTTTTTATTATTATTATTAGCACGGAACGGAATGGGACTGTGAAAGGTAAAGTAAGGTTTTGACAATTTGAGAACTTAAGATAAAAAAAAAAATGAAGCATTTCAAAAAATGTCTTGCCTCACACCGACATGAAGCTACTCTTTAAAAAGTTGCGTTTTATTGAATAAACGTTTCGCTTGTTGTTTTCTTAACATAATTATGTTGTGGCTTTGACGCAATCAATCTTCTGTGACAGCTTTAGGCTGTCAGGACGCCAGCACGCCTTTTCCTGCATCCGGGTGACCTCCTGCTCACCTGTTTTACCTGGAAAGTCGTGCTTACGTCCTCTAGTCATTATTAATAAAAATATAAAATATGTGTATTTCACATTAGCGTTTGACATCCCGTGAGTTTTAACCTCAGCAGGTGACAATGGAGACCCTGCCACTTGGTGGGACCGTGCACACCTGGGAGCAGGGGGGGCATCATGGGAGAAAGCTGCTGAAGAAGGGGGCTGCTGACAATACATGCACACACGTGCACGATCTGTTCCATGAAGATGCACAGGTAAGATGAGGGGGGTCACAACCTTTCACACCAATTCAGGTGGATGTTTTTTTCAGTTTTCTACAGCTGTGAAAATAAAAGATTAGAATTCACTGAAACGCCTGCCACCCTTCACAAAAGAGTTTTAGATCCAGTTTTAGACGTCACGTTAATTTTTACCTCATTTTGTGTAATATTGGCTGAGTACCGATGTTAAGCTGTGATGATCATCTTTAATTGGAGCAACTCCTAAAGTTAATCACCTCTAGATGTGAATTCAGCAAGTACTTTGTGAAAGTTTTCTCTAAATCTGTCCAGTGGTTCATAAAATATTTTGGTAACAGACAAACAGGGTTGTCACTAATATTTAATGCTAAAGTTTTACATAGAACCTGTGCGACGTGTAATCCTTAAATTGTGTGTTGGGTGTGTTTCTCAGCTACTTGTACACCACATTTTAGTTCAGTGTCTGCAAAACTGGCTGAGCGATGGCTGTTTATGTGCTAACAAAGATTGATTAGCTGTGACGGCCATCTTGAATTGAATTGACTTCTAACACTGACCAGTTGCACATCTACATCCAGTGATTTTGTTCTGAAAATTTCATTAAAGCACATCCACTAATTCAAGAGATAATTTGCTAACAGACAGATACTCCAATTCTTATTAGGCAACATTTTAAACAACATTCTTGTGCATGCTGTTAGTGCTCATAGTATAAGTTGGAGAGCAGTCTCAACTACTGCCACACCAAATTTGAGCTCAGTATATGTAAAAATATCAGTGAATTTAGCCATTTTTTTAAATGAGGTGCACTGGCTGTGGCGGCCATCTTGTTTTGGGCTGACTTCAAAAGCTCATCAGTTGTAGATAAATGCAAGTTTCTTTGAATTTTGTGAACTATTTCACGTTATTTTGGCGCCAGACAGACACAAAATCAAAATAGTCCACTTTTAGAGACCAGTGGTAACGGCTCGTTTTGATAGTGAGCCTGTCAGCGGTTAAAGTGATTTTTGTGTTTGTTTGCAGGGTTTCCACCAGGCTTGTCAGCCGTGGTGGAAGATCAAGCTGTTCGTGTGGGAGCCGGTGCTGTTTGGAACCTGGGATGGCGTTTTCACCACCTGCATGATCAACATCTTTGGTGTGGTTCTCTTCCTGCGCACCGGCTACCTGGTGGTCAGTGTAAACACTTCCGTCGGGTGTGGCACTCGTTTGCCTCCCTTCATACTGCTCGTTTAGCAGAAACCTCACAGCAAAGTTACAGATGTGTGTGAAACACAGCTGGCGTGTTTTAATGTTTAGCCTCCGGTTATGCAACTGTTTGTTTTACGATGTGCAAAAGTCTTGAGCCTGCCCTCATTTCTCTATTGCTTCCAAAGAGGCTGCTTTTCTAAAGTGGTCTGGTATTGAGTATTTTCCATCTTTAAAGCACCGGTGTCCAAAGTGTGGCTCGTGGGCCATTTGCGGTCCTTGGTGTGATTTTGTGCGGTCCACAGCTGCAATTTAAGAATGTTATCATTTTGTCTAGCAGGCTTAAGAGGTTGATGCAGACTTTCTGCAAATTTGTTATTTTTTTTACTTTCACTTCATGGTATAGCACACCAAAAACATTTACTGATTCCCACCAGAAAGGAGACTTTGATTCATAAAACTTGGCTAAATATTGCAATTGATAAAATAATCAAGAGGGAAATTTTACATTTTTAAATGAATATAACGTGGTATCATCTACATACGAGTTGATTAACTTTATCAAACCTTCTATGAATCTGTTGTAGCGACTGACAGCTGGACGATTTTTCAGAACTTTAATCAGCCTTTTGGGCCGTCCATGGTCCAAAAGGCTGATGGACCCCCTTTTAATAGGACACTTACTCAAATTATGCTTTTGTTGCAGAGAACAGACTAAAATGAACTTTTCAAACACAAGAAAACGACAAACATAGACCTAACAAATCAAATAAATCATTTTTAATAAAAATATAAACTTAGTGTTTAGGACACTTTTAATGTTTTGGATCTACAACAATTAGGCCTGTCACGGTAACAAATTTTGCTGGACGATTGATTAATTGTCTCAGAAATTATTGCGATAAACGATAATATTGTTTGAAATTTGACAATAATTAGTAATTGTCAAATTTAAGAAGAATTGTTGGTTAATTTGTTTTGAGTATAGTACCTTTTTTGACCACTAGATGGCAGTATAAGACTGTTTGAACCAAAGGATGGATAGTGAGAGAGCAAGCAGCGTGTCTCTTTAAGAAAAATGATAGGGAGGTCCTTGACGTGACATGGGCTGTCTCTCTTCAGTTCTCAAAATGGAAGACCCTCGGTGTGGTTTGAGCTCTTTAGCATAGTATTTTTCACACAAAGCTTTTAATAAAAAAAAAAATCAGTAAACAAGTTCTCAATTTCTTTTTGCAGAGAAAAACAACTTTACACAAAGGCACGAGTTTCAACCGAGGTCGGCCTGTTAGCTTATCTCGTAGCTTAGCTTCTCAGTTTAGCTGCTTAAAGTGGAGTTTAAAAAGAAAAAAGAAAGTGAGGAGTCAGTGAAGAGCACCGGAGTTGAGCCTTTTGTCATCCAGTGTCTTCAGTAGAAAGAGAGAGACATAAAGAAACGATAAAGCCGATAAATGAAAATGAGGTCGATAATTTTCATTTATCATGCGATTAATTGATTTATTGTTTATCTTGACAGGTCTAACAACAATTTAAAACTCTTTCTCCACCAAAATTAGTAAATTTTTGTCCTCTCTCCAACATAATGTTCACGTTGAGAGATTAAGTCACATTTTTGTGGCCCACGAGTCCTTTCATCTGGATAGTTTTAGCACAGATATGAAAATGTTTGGACACCCCTGTTTTTTTTAACTGTTTCTGCTTTTTCTTTTTCTTATTTTGAACCTAAACATTAGAGCATATTGTAAAGTGTGTGAAGTGCTCAAGTGGAAGACAAAAGAAGTGTCAGCTGTAACTTTTGATCAAAATCCAGCTCACAAGAAAGTCTGGCTCCATAAAAGCAAAATATAGACAAATGAACTTTTTAAAGTTTCAGTTCAGCTTCTTTCAAACGTGGCTATTTCCCCACCCTGACGTCTGTATTTCAGAGCTAAATAACCTCATGACAAAGCAACATTTTGTAGCTTCTATATGTTTTTTAAGTCCAGTTCAAGTCTAATTTCTAACGCGGGAGGCGATGGTTTTTAATCCAGAGTGAGATGCATTTCATCAGAAATTCCATGCGTGCGAAGCCAAACGGTGTAGCTAAGTGTGGCTCTGATGTCAACCCCTGCTCACCGTGCTGTCAGGATCGGGTTTTATTTTTTATCCAAGTTTTGAAGAAACACAAGAACGACAGAATGACGAGCAACGAGAATATTTTACTGCAAACTGGACACAAGTTTCAAGGTCCGCCTATTAAATATCTACCGTATTTTCCTGCGTATAAATCACAGGACTGACAAATCTACGCACAAAAAACCTGCAACTTATACACCGGGAAATACGGTAAATCAGTGGAATTCTAAGAATTCAAAGTTCATCCATTCCCCCCTCATTATAAGATGTAAGTGTGCAGACTAACATCACAGCAGTATATGAAAGAGAAGAATGGAAAGAAAGTGAAATGTTGTAGGAAGCATTAATTGCGAGCAGTGAAGGCATTAACTCGTGCGACGTGTCGTGACCTCATCAGGGGAACACCGGCGTGCTGCTGGGGCTGCTCCTCGTCTCCATGGTCGTGGTCGTTGCTTTAGTGACTGTGATGTCGGGGATTGGGATTTGTGAGCACTGCGGCGTTGGCGGCGGTGGGATCTACTCCATGATCTCCACTGTGCTGGGGGGCAGGGTGGGGGGCACGGTCGGCCTCCTCTACGTGTTTGGGCAGGTGAGTGGCTGCAGCTGTGAGCGTTTTGTTTATATGACAGGTTTGGTACGGTGCGTGTGCTCTTCCTGTTTTCCCACCTGCTCTGATGTTGCCCTCTGCCGCCCTGCAGTGCGTGGCGGGGGCCATGTACATCACGGGCTTCTCAGAGTCGGTGGCTGAGCTCCTGGGTCTGCAGAGCCAGTGGGCGGTGCGTTGCATGTCGGCAGCTGTGCTCCTGGCGCTGCTCGGCATCAACCTGGCAGGTGTGAAGTGGATCGTCCGACTCCAGCTGCTGCTGCTGGCCGTGCTGGCCGTCTCCACTCTGGACTTTGTCATCGGCACCTTCACACATCTTGATCCAGGTAGGGCAGGGGTCATGGTTATTCACCCCGATGCTCTCGGTGAATATGTTTTTATTGAATTCAGACGGATTTTACTTTAAAGTTAGTTGCCTAAGAATGATATAAATGTCAAAAAGTCTGCAGCAGGATTGCTAACGGGGGGAAAATGAAAACGTCCGAAGCATCATCAGGAACATCACTAAATAACTGATGAGATGAATGTACGCAAATAATTCACACTAAAGTAAATAAATCAAAATAATAATAATAATAATACATATGTAATCTAAATATAGTAATGCATTATTAAAGTATGGTTCTGGTTATGTTGCGCTTTCTTTCTATATTAAGATTTTCTGCTGAGAAATTATTTTAAATTCTAAACTTTCTATAAAAAAAACAACAACAAAAAAACCAACCAGTTTACATGCTGTGCTTATTAATTTATCTTTGCTCATAACTTTGACCTTCTGTTCTGATGACATTACACCAAAAGGGAAGTTGGTTCTGTGAACTTTTTGAAGTTATGCTTGCCATGAGACAAAATTCAGACGAGTTGCAGAACAGACTTTTTGAATAAAGAGCAGAATCAGCTGGGAGACCATTTAGTAAATAAAATAAATGAGTTTGGAATTAAAGATATATGCATTTCACCAAAACATGGTTTAAAAAAACTTTTTTTTTCTGCAATCTCTATATAATAATGCAGTTCATATTCCTAACTACAGCATATTAGCTGGATTAAGATGTTGCAATATCAGCAAATTTACTTCATTCAGCAATGAGTTATTTTACATTCAAAGAGCAATCCAGTACAATAAATCGAACTATCCAATTTAATGAACATGTAAAACTCGTTTTGACCACTAGGTGGAGCTCCAGCATGATTTATGTCACTGAATCAGTGTGATTGATTGAGATGGTGTTCAACTGTTTTTCTTAATATATTTGTCACGTTTTATGAGGAATGTAGAATATTCTTAGTGTTTTATTATTATTATTTTGAGCTGAGTTTGAAACATTGATGAGTTTATCTGGATTTTTTTTTTTTTTTTTTGAGATTATATCCTTTTGTTGGCCTGCAGGAAGACCTTCCCCACATTTCCTGTTCCCAGTGGTTATCAACTTCCTGTCCGATGGGAAGAGAAAAGTGTTCCAGCCAGTCTGTGTTGAACACATCTCAGTCACACACATGTTGCCTGCATTTCCCTTGAAAATGCAAACAAAAAAAAGTGCATGGAGCACAGATTTTTCCATAAACCACATTAATTTGACTACTTGGGATATGCTTGTGCAATATTCAGCTTTATCTCCCCAGTTAACACTAAAACCAGACCCTCATCCTGACTCCAGTGTGTCCCGCTCTCTCGCCATCCAGTTTGTTTTATAGCACAGTATACGCCAGATTGCAGCTCTGAGGAACTTTGTGAGAACCAGCTGCATCAGCTACTCCAGCTTTTTCCAATTAAAAGCTGCTTTGTGTGTTTTGGTGAGCTCATGTTTGGCTGAAGACCAACAGGTTCACTTTAACAAACCGAAGCAGCCCAGATTAGCTTTAACTCCTTTAAATGCCGAGGAACATCCTGAAGGAAAAGTGAAGCTACTGGCAAATTGATGCGGTCACAGTTTCACACAGATTAATATCCCACCATCATAGAAGAGGTGCATCAGTTCAGCCAAGTACGTTTGCTTGGCATAAAAATGAATTTAGAGTCGGGGTTGATTTTCAGTATTGGCATGATGAGGACTGCTGGTTGACTGGCCTGCAAATTAATCATCAATTACATTCACCTACAGGCAGTTTCTATGTTTTGTATTATATTTGTGGATGCATTCCAAAGGTCATTTCTGCTGTATCATGATGAATTGCAACAGCTCATAATTGTGCTGTTGTATTTCTGCGTCGGGAGTGGAATTCATTTTTATTTATTTTGGTGTAGTAAATCACTATAATGTGGTCAACAACACCACCAGATTATTGTCTCTGTAACCAATCTGTTTAACCACCAACACTTCTGGTTGCGATGCACAAATTATTTACAGCCCTGCACGTCTCACCCTCGCCCTGTGGGTCGAGCTCGTTTCCCTACGGAGCAGGAAGCCGTAATGGGCTCTGTGGATCTTGGGTTTAGGGTGTTAACCAGACTCACCCACATTTTTGGAAGATGAAAAAGAAAAAACGTCCGGAACTGAGATCTGAGCCTTTATTCTCACCAGAGACGCCACATCGTGTTTTTTTTTCTTTCTATGATTTAAACGATGATATATAGTTTTCAATCATCCCAGTGGGATGTGCTCCACCTCACACAAATCACAGCATGCCCTGTAGTCCACTCACAGCCGTTTATACTGGTTAGGGTGGGAGGGTAGGAGGTCATTTAGACCGAGGGAGAGGCCTCAGATGCTCATGTAATCTGACTACACATTCCAGCCTGCATCAGAGGAATGCTGGTTTCAGTGAGGAGCTTCACTCTGCCTGCACGCATGCTTCTCAAAGAAAAAACTAAAAAAATTAGAAATTTGGATTAAAATTTTGCCTAAAGCAATGGTTTGTCATTAAGATTATAATTCTGCTCATACCTGTTTTTGAAATACATTGCTAATCTAGTAACAGGAGGACTGCTCATAAGAACCCTCTGAGGGGACGCTGAGATTATGGAGTTTGCTCAGATAACATTTAGAGCTGGTTTTGCTGCATGTGGACACATACTTGAAGCTCTGAGATGCTTCAAGGTCACATAAAACGTCCCAACGCATGTGGTGGAGTTTCCTTCAGGGATTATTGTTGCTGATCTGGTGTCCATAATGAAAAACATTTGGTATAAACCAGAGCACAAATCCAAATGACAAATCATCCCCCCAAATCCTCCTGCTCCTCGGTTACAGTCAGTTCTGCAGCATCAGTAGAATAAAGCTGTGAGGGTTGTGCCAAAGTTTTTGGTCCCAGGATTTACAAAGAGCAACATTTTATTCTTGAACTATCAAGCTGAGCATATGTCAAAATGTCAAACAGGTATTTAAATATAACTAAGTAAAATATGACCTTTCGCATGTGAGGCAGACAGGAAATATGCAAACGATGTTTCACAGGCGTTTCTCTTTAATTCTCTGTCAGGTCCGTTCAGAGACTCCGTTAGACTTTGTCTTTGGTTAGCTGCTGAGGTATTCACTCAAAGATCTACAACATCACGTCTTGTAGCCTGTTTTTTTTCAATATCACATCAATTTCATTACCGTACAATGAGACCATTTGTCAGGGTGCAGCTTATGTTGTAACTTCTGATGGCTCATATTCAAATCTGCCAGAGTTTTATATACTCCCAATACAGCAAAATGCCTGCTGTGCAGTCAACAGAGGTATAAGAGCAAATAATTGCCCCTCAGACATGCAATCTATTTTTTATTTCTAAAAATAATGAAAATCCCACACAAATGTCTCCTGGCACATCGTTTTAAACGAGAGTTGAAAATGTGAACACTTCAGTAGTCAGAGCTGGCAGAGTTTTGCTTACTTGGATGTTGGAGTGTGATGTCATTTGGGTGGGGTGCTCTTGTTGTGGACATGGACACGGTCCGTGCTGGACTTGTTGGGTCCTGACATGGTGATGTCACTGGGTCACAAACTGAGCAAGAGATTTGGAAGTTGGTGTTCCCTTCACATTTGTTACGAGTGAAGTATTTGCACATGTGGAGCGAATGAGCGTGTTCCAATTCTTTCTCTCACACTCAAATGATTCTTTCGCCAAAAACCTGGAAACTGTGGAGCTTCTGAAAAGGGTGGTAACTTCCTTTTGGATAAACATGTCATTAATCTGGGAAAACACATTCTTTCCCGTCGCAAGATAACCAAGGGGGAAATGTCCGGTGTTGTAATATAGACAGGACCTTCATGCTTCCCTCTCCCAACGCAAAATGACCTTCACTCACACAGACTGACCCAGAGCAAAGTGACCCATCCTGTCAAAATTAAAATAAAATAAAAAGTAACCCTACCTGTTGATGCCATGTTTGTGACTGCTGGTGTTTAGTGAATGTGCTTTCTGGATCGTGCTTTATGCTGTGGGGAACTATTCAAACTATGCAGATGTAATAAAATATTTTTGAACCTACAATACATTGCTTTTGACTCCAGAGATCAGATGTAAAAACTAGGCCTTTTGCGATAATCACTAAATCAATTAATCACATAATAAATGAAATGTATCTACCTCATTTTCATTTATCGACTTTATCCTTTCTTCGTGTCTCTCTCTTTCTACTGAAGACACTGGATGACAAAAGGCTCAACTCGGGTGCTCTGACCCAGTGTTGCCAAGTGAGAAATGTAGGGTTATCATACTAGAGACATAAAATTATCGTATTTTGAGGGAAATTATTGTACACCCGTCATAACCAAAATAACAAATCTATTGATGCACTATAGTAGTGTTGGGTCCACTTCCAGACCGACTCTTCTTTTTCTTCTTTTCTTGTTTTCTTCTCCTCACTCATGGGGTGGGCGCAGCGGACTATTCAGCCAATCATGGCCGTTGTTCTGAGGCAAACGCAAACACGTCACTTGTAGGTCACATTTAGAAAAGCACGATTGGCTAGAATTTCAGCCAATTGTGCATCTGTTTGCAGACACAGATGCCTTCAGGGTTCACAAAAAAAACCTCAGTTGCGACAGGCTGATGACAACCGATTACAACAAAACATTCACGGAATGGTCAAATTATTGTATATTTGGCCTTTTTTGGGATTATTGATCGTACATCGTACAGAGGGCAAAATTGTCGTATAAATATGATGATTATCGTACACCTGGCAACACTGCTCTGACCCCTCCCTTTCTTTTTTCTCTTTAAAATCCATTTTAAGCATCCAAAAATTGTGTTTTTGGATTGTTAAAAGCAGCTAAGCTGAGAAGCTAAGCTACGAGCTAAGCTAACAGGCCGACCTCGGGAAAAGACCTCTGTCTTGTCGAAGCTCCAAAATTCACTGCTGAAACCCGTGCCTTCGTGTAAAAAGTTGTTTTTCTCTGCAAAAAGAAGCTGAGAACTTGTTTACTGATTTTTAATTAAAAGCTTTGTGTGAAAAATGCTATGCTAAAGTGCTCAAATCACACTGAGCATCCGCCATTTTGAGATCCAAAAAAAGGAAGGAGAGACAGCCCATGTCACATCAGGGGGCCTCCCTCCCATTTTTCTTAGAGACACGCTGCTTGCTCCCTCAGTATCCATCCTTCGATTCAAACAGTCTTTTATACGGTCATTCGGTGGTCAAAAAAGGTACTACACTCAAAATTAACCAAAATGTCTTCATAAATTTGACAATAATTAGTAATTATTGTCAAATTTCAAACAATATTATCATTTATCGCAATAAGTTCTGAGAGAATTTGCTATTGTGACAGATCTAATACAAACAGTGGTTTCACACTAAAAACACGCCTTTTTCCACGTAGAAACTAGAATTTGTAAATGATGTGAATTTAGGATATGTGCACTTGGCACATACTTTGTGTACACACTTATTTTTAAAGAAGGTTAAAGAGTTAAAGGTTAAAACAGAGATTTGCTCATAGGCGCACAAAAACACTTATGTCCACCTCTTGTGGCATATAGTTTCATTGTAGCCATTTAGAAAAGATGTGCATTTACATGGCATTTAAGTAAGAGGAAAAATGTATAATGAATAAATGAATATTTAGTATTGCCATTGTGAAGTGCCATCAAGTCAGAGTAAAAAAAAACTTATAAAAAATACAAAAAATAAAATAATCATAAAAATTTCAGATTAAATTAGATTTAAAACATGTTTAAAAATCATCAAGAACAAGCAGAGGCGCACACATTCTCTTCAACTTGCACATTGTTTTGCAACTCAGGCTTTTGCTTTTGTCTCTATTTAGCTGAGTAACTGCTGTCAGAAACAGTTTTTATATCTATTTATCCTTGTTTTAAATGATCTGTACCATCTCTCTGACTGTAATAGATTGTAACAGACCATGACTAGGGGGAGACGTGCCCTTTAGGATGATGTGGGCCTTTTTCAGGCAGTAGGAATTGTGCAGTTTCTCCACTGGGAGAGGAGTGCAGGCCACAATCCTCTGGGCACTGTTAATGACTCTCTGGAGTGCTTTCTTCTTAGCCACTGTGCAGCTGGATTACCACACAGTACCTTAAGACATTCTCTATAGAGCATGGATAAAAAGACACCAGCTGTCTGAGTGGTGACGTTTCTTCTGAGCACTCTCAGAAAGAACAGTCTCTGCAGGGCCTTTTTCAGAAGCTCAAGACACGTTCACGCTCCAACTCAGGCCCTTTTCAATGTGGACTCCCAGAAAATGTGGCTGCCACCTTCTCCACACAGTCCCTGCTGTTGTTATGGTTGTGGGTAGGACTGTAACTCCCAATGACGACACACGGGTACGTCTTCTTTATTTAAAATCGGACACTTTAATGAATGCCGTGAAAACTACAGAAATAAGACATAAAATACATAAATAAAACACAAAGCTTTAGGTACTGTACCGAGTGACAAGTAAAACATGCTTTATCAAAAGGTGTACCTCATGGCCGCTCGTCATTGAAGAGGTCCTAGACAAATGTTTTTCATCCTGTGCACTCTAAATAAACATATAAAATAATTAGAACACCATAACTGACACATTTACAATGTATTACAACAGTTATAAATACCTTTACAGCTAGCAAACTATCAAGGCTGCTGCACGCCGCTCATATCTTCAGGTAACTGTATGTAGCTTCACGTAAATGTGCGTACAGCAGATCTCACCACTCCCTTACGTTCACACAAATCTTGCGATAACGGTACAACAGAAAATAGTCCTTTGTGACAGAATAAATGCATCTTAAACAAAAGATAAAACATATTTTCAAAACGTGAACTAAACAAACTAAAAACAAAATATTCTCACTACTGAAAACAAATGTTAATTTTTTTCATGCATATATCATTGTGGTGACACAAGGACCTTAGTTTTCCTCTTGTTGTAGTCTATTATCAGCTCCTTAGCCTTTGGGGTGTTGTTACTCCTCCACCAAACTGTTGGCTGCTCCACCTAGTCCCCGTAGGTGGAATCATTCCTCCCAGAGAGCCGCACCACTGTGGTGTCATCTGCAAATTTGACAATGGTGCTGCCATGGTGAGCAGGGGTGCAGTTGGATGTACTATAGAGGGCATAGAGCAGGGGGCTCAGCACACAGCTCTGTGGAGCACCAGTGCTGAGGGCTGTGGATTTATGATGGCCTACTGTACTCTAACCCTCTGACCAGACAGGAAGTGGTTATATGTTAATCCACATACAGGTAGAGTATGGAAGTCCCAGGCCCGTTTGACCACCAGTTTGTTGGGGAGGATGGTGTTAAACTCAGAGCTTTAGTCCACAAGGAGAAGCAGCACATAGCTGTGCTACTGGACAGTAGTCATTAAAACAGGACATGTGAGGTTTCTTTAGCAGGGGGACTATTGTGGAACTCTTCAGGCAGGGTGAACTGGGGCAAAGACCTGTTAAGATTGTGGTCAGGACTCTTGCCAGCTGGTGTGTGCAGTCCCTCAGCACTCATCCAGGATTGCTGTTGGACCCAGCAACCTTCCTCAGTTTGACAGCTCACAACATGCGCCTCACATCGTTCTCTTCAACAGTGAGGGTGGAGTTGCTGTGGACTGCCAGGTGCAGTACAGCTTTCTCAAGTGGCTTCACCCCAAAACAGTGAAAGAAGAGACTAAAAAAAAAACCTGTATAATTACATTTATACCATTGAATATTTTCAGTTGTAGCTGGAATCAGCACTGTGTTTATGTCTACTGGTAGAAATAAATCCCACTTTGGTTATCAAGGTTTTTCCAAAGATGATCCCACATTGGTCTCATGGTTTTACTGCCAGTTGATCTCAAGTATATAGTAAATTGTTATTCTTAATATCGTTCTTGTTTATATTTAAGGTTTTGACTTTGTCATACTCTTACCCCTTCTTGTGATATACTAAATGTTTGAAAACTTTGCTTACACTTGGCAAAATCCTGGGGTCATCTTTGTCAAATTGTCTGTACCTTGTGTGTTACCTCTTTCTCAGAGCATGGTTTCATCGGTTATTCAGCCGAGCTTCTCACCAGTAACACAATTCCAAACTATAGCCCAGGAGAAAACTTCTTCACAGTGTTCGGGGTCTTCTTCCCAGCTGCTACAGGTAGGCAGGCCCCCATCTAAAGTCTTTTTTTAGCTGTCATTCTATTTCACATGAAATATGTCAACAACCTCAGTTCCCATTTTTACAGCTGCATATGCCATGTGTAAAACTACACTTTGTACTGAATATTTAACGTATACTTTTGTGGTTTGTGTGCACGTGTGTAGGGGTTATGGCAGGCTTCAACATGAGCTCAGATCTGCAGCGGCCGGAGCACAACATCCCTGTGGGAACGCTGGCAGCTGTCTTCACCTCGTACGACAACACCCAAATTCACCCCAAACACACACGTCACAGTCAAGTTGGATACAAAAATATTACATAATTAAATGTCCCAGAATACAACTACATAAAAGCAATGGGTCAATTCTTAAAGGGCACATTTTGCTTTCATTATGCTCTGAATATCTTTTCAAAAGGGCAATTTTTTTTTTTAGTTTCATTGGAGAGGATAAACAAACCCACATTATGGGCTGGCTTCATCCCACTTATTCACTGAACGTTCATGTTTTTTAGATGTCCTGGATAATTTCTGCTATTCTTAGTGAGAAAGGAGGTAACTGTGTGTGCTGAACTGTTGGTGACCTACAGGTGGTTCCTGTATCTGGTCTTTGTCTTTCTTCTGGGGGCCATCTGCACTAGAGAAGCTCTGCGCTACGACTTCTTGATAGCAGAAAAGGTAAACTCTCTGTTTCCGTCCTACCCTGTGAGAGAGGCCTTCTGGCAGAGGAGGTGATGTGTGGGAGTTCCCCACCTGGGCTCACACTGCTGTGGTCAGTTTAGCTTCTGACTTAGTGCACTTTTGTAAATGTTTTTTTTTTTTCAGATGGAAATCTATTTATATTTGAAATGGTTCTTGAATGGAAGTAGACATCTTCACTGTGTGTATCAAGTCATTGAGTTGGCATATTTTAATTAGGACAATCCTCAAACATGTGTCCTGAAATTAAGTGATTGGAAGCTAGAATTCAAACTTCCTAACTAAGAATGAACAAGTTAATGTACTCTTTATGTACAGTCTTTGATGTTTATGAATATACGGTGGTCCCTCGCTACGTCACGCTTCATTTTTCGCAGACTCGCTCTATCATGTTTTTTCAAAATAAGATTGGACATGACACACAATTGACTGATTGATGGATAAGCCGTACAGTCAGCATGGAATTTTTATTTAAAATAAATTATTTTAAATTATGTAGCACCTGCTGCACCTGTGTGCAGCCCACAGCTGCAGCAGGCACTTTCTTCTGCAGCATTTCAGATCTCCGTTCTGCAGTGGAGAAGTGGGCGTGGCCAAATGCGCTTGCAGATGGCAAAGTGCAGCAGGAGGCTGAGAGCCAAAATCACACACCCATATATATATATATATATATATATATATATATATCTTCTTGGTTTACTGTGTCCCTACTTCATGTTTTCTCACTTATCACGGGGGTGTGGGTGGGCGCGTTGTCCCCAACACCCATGATAAACGAGGGAACGCTGTATAATTGTTTTGATGCCATTGAATGACAATAAAACCTACAGCTCACATTTTTATTTAGAATCAATTTGAGATAAATCAGGAGTTGTTTAACCAAATCTAAAATATAGTGCAGCAAGAATGCTCAGCTTTAAAGAACGTTACAGAACCCTAACCTGTACCAAATGTTAAGTATGCCAATATAGATTTTAAGGTCTGACTTTTAGATTTACCATAAGTTGAATTAACCACAGAATTCCTTGAATCCTCCATCAGTGTATTCCTATTGTTATTGTAAGAGACTGACTGCAGCGGAACCAGTTTGGGTGTAGCTTTTTGTGAAATCACAACCCCACCTCATCCTTGTTTGTTTTCCGTCTTCCTCCAGGTCTCCTTGGTGGGTTTCCTCTTTCTGCTGGGCCTTTACATCTCCTCCCTGGCTTCTTGCATGGGGGGCCTGTACGGAGCTCCCAGGATCCTTCAGTGCATCGCCCAGGAGAGGGTCATCCCCTCGCTGGCTTTCCTGGGAAAAGGGGTGGGTGGATGGAAGGTTACTGGAGTGATAAACGAGAAACAAAAATTTACAAATAGGCTAGTTTAAATTCAGTAACATTTTTCTATGAAATATTGTGCTTGACTGAAGTTATTTCTACCTACAGTAACTTGTATTTGCTTTAAAATGTTGCATTTAATCAGCTTTTGACTACACCATTTGTGTTCTTCCTTGAGATATAGAAGGTAAATGTCAAACCTAATTAAAGCTTCTCAATGTTAATTATAAGTGCTAGATTGGCAGTTCATCTCAGAACCATCACCATAAAATTTAATGTCAGACCTTCTGTTGATGAGAACAGAAGTCACGAGATCCTGTTTTACGGGCCCTGATATTTAGATTTTTTTGGAACCAGAGTCTGTGCACTAAGAATGTGGAACTTTAAGTCCCACCTACTTTTCTGCACACAATCACATGTCACATGACCTCTCTTTTATTTATGAAATAACAAATTACAGATAAATGTAAAAAAAAGTGAAAGTTTGAACATACAGCAGCAAGGTGAACTCCGTGTAAATAAACAAGAGATGTTATTTATTTTTAACCAAGGGCACTGTCCCTATTACTGTACTTTCTGCCGTGCACGTCGCACCGCCCTATAAGTTGCATCAGTCCAAATATGTCTAAAGTGGGGGAAAAAACATAAATATATCACTTAGCTGTATAAGTCGCATCTATTATACATCACCGCTGACGTGTCACGTTTGTTACACATCACCGCTGACAACCTGGAAATATGGGCCGGTGTTGTCCCAAAAATCGATTGGCTGCCAAATGGCAGCCACAGGAGCATGCACGGGAGGACTTTAAGAATTTAATAAGATTAGCACTTAAAAACAATAATTTTTTTTGCTTGACGTTATAGCAAAGGTGTGTCGCAGTTTAACTTTTCCTCAATAAATGCACTTTGACGATCAAATCAGCTGCATTTCGAAAGCCGATTCGCGGAAGTGGGAGCGTGCAGAGGAACGACTGGCTGTGCATTTCTTTGAAATTTAACAAGATAACTACCTAACAAAATATTTGTTTGCTCGACTTTATAGTAAAGATGTGTCTCAGTTGAACTTTTACTTAATAAATGCACGTCAGTGGTCAAATTAGCTGCATTTCGCCAGGGCGGTGCAGCAAAATGAAGCTGATTTGACAGTTGCTCCAGGTGAGCTGGATGAAAGTGGCAGTCTATGGCAAGCCGATTGTGTTATTACTAGTCACTTTTACCTATTACATGACACAACGGTATGCCATATTACTCAAGTGCCATCTAGCGGCTGAAAATGGTAGTGTTCAATATTTTCCATGTCAGAATGAATGAAAACGAGCATATCTCAGCCAAAAATTGTTTTTTAAATATGGAGAAAAAAACATAAATAAGTCGCTTCGGTGTGTAAGTCGCAAGGCATGTAAATTATGCAACAAACTGTGACTTATAGGTCGAAAAATACGGTACTTACATGGAAGGGGCAGGACATAAATCTTGTACTGGAACCAGCATACAGGGAAGCTAGTCTTTTTCAGGCTTCAGCTTCCAGGATCCAGTCATATGTCTAGATTCCTTCTTGTCCACACTTAGACCAAGAGAGACTTGGAAAGGAAAGTTACTGTCTATAGTGATCTAAGCTAAAAAAAACTAAGTTTTTTTTTAACAGAACATGTGGATCTTTGAAATGTTAAACAAGAAAACTCAAAATATCAGTTTGTTTTTTTGTCACAGATATACATGTTATAGGTAAAATATTAATTTCAATACATCTTCACACCACATGTGGACATGCTGGACAAAGTTTCCCAGCAACTGAACTACAGCAGTAAACTGTTGCATAATAATTCTAAAATACATTTGTGGGGTTACCTGCAGTATTTGGTATTTTGTGACCTAATAGTAACCTGGATGCTCAGGGGGTGTGGTGCTCAGACTCACCAGGAAACAGTTATGGGTCCACCTAATTATAGAGTGTGGTCTTTACAAAGTAGAAGCGAGTGGACTGCCCTCAGTAGTTAAAAAAAAAAAAAAAAAAATCAAAAAAAATTTCTGCAACACACTTGGTGAACAGTCACGTTAACGTTGTGACCCGGTTCACCCCAGCCTTCCTAGTATGGCAACAGCGTTTGACCTCTCTCAGCAGGCTGGAATGAGGTCTGAGACATCTTGGCCCAAATCAAAGCCTCAGAACAAACGCAGGAAGGGCGACGGGCTGGGCCCTGCTCCGTTGTGTGCTCTGGAGCCCCGCCAGGCACATAGCAGTCCTCCTTGAACTCTGCAAAAGAACCGGGGGAGTTAAATCACAGGGTTGTTGTTGTTGTTTCGGGATGAATTTAGTCTTTAAAATTTATTGTGTTTTGCGATGCCATAAATCAAAATACATTTTGCCCCATTAAGTTAAAATATACTATAAAGCACAAGTGATTCCTTACTCAAGTCATATGAAGAAGTTTTTAGTTTATTTCTGGGAATAATGTGCTTAATCTTTCATTTAAAGTTGTGCAAAAGTTAAATTATTATTAATATAATATATTATATGACGTATAAATATTTTTTCAAAACTTAACAAAATTAAAATGATCATCCACCAGTTGAAGGTAAGCATATTATGGTATAGTCTCTGTACGTCTGTAAATGTGCCCATAACTTTTGATCCGCTCAAAATAATTTAATAAAACTTCAAACACTTATGCATCATTACTAGACTAGACCGTTGCAGATATTTTTCATCACCCCAGCTCCAAGGTCACAAATCAAGGTCAGAGGTTCTAAAAGGTCTTTGCTCCTCTGGGCCATTGCTATAGATTGCTGTATAAAGTGCTGTATGCTGTACTTGTGTTGTAGTTGCATTACTTACATTATGTTTTATAAACAATTTAAAGTTAAGCATGTACAGAAAATGGCCTTTGTTGATTGTAATGTCAAACTGAACTAAGCAATTTTTGTGAATACCTTTTTAGATTGATATTTCTTTGTATCCATAACAGACCTCTTTTTTAATTTAGTTTTTTTTAGTGGGGAGCAAATTGTAAATGTGGCATGAAATACAAGTTGGAACACAATTTTTGTCAATCAAAACCATATATCTGGCAAAAATCAAATTTATTCTTCAGATACAGTTGGCTTTGCTTAACATATATTGAAACATTCATCTTGTCAATTTAATTATTTATAAAAATTACTTCATAAGACCAGAATTTTTATATACTTTTTTAACAATTTATTTTTGTTTTGTTCAGTCACATAGTGTCTTTCTGTGGTTTTGACAGAAAGGCCCAAACAGGACCCCGGTGGCTGCCATCTGTCTGACCAGCCTGCTGACAATGGCTTTCATTTTTATTGGTCAAGTCAATATCTTGGCACCAATTGTCACAATCAACTTCATGCTCACCTACAGCTTCATTGATTACTCCTACTTCAGTGTGGCCATGACCTTCCTGCTTCAGACAAAACGGAAGAAGACGACCTTGATTTCAGGAAGGCACAGCCGGCGCAGGTCGACCAAGCAGAGTTCCAAACCGCTGCTTGAATCCGCTAGCCCCAACTACGGGAGCGGAGGCGAGAGCCCACAAGGTAAAGGTACTTTGTTGGAGTTCACCAGGGATATGGACCGGATCTTTCCACCTGCCACAAAACCTGACTCTGTGTCTGAGAAGACCCCATCAAGCCAAGAACTGAGCAGCAGGTATGAGAGCAGAAAGGCCACCGCAAAGCGGAAGCTGATGGACAGCTTCGGTCTGGACCTGAACAGCAATGTAGAAGAGGAGAGAAGTTCAGCCCCTCCAGAGGAAGGAAATGAGCTGCCGTTCAGAGACGAGGAGGTCAATGCTGGAGATCAACCTCAGGTTAAACGCCACACAAGTGAATGTAGCGTGGAATCTGAGTCATCTGCAGAAAGTCTCAGTCACACCACAGGTGGTACGGTTCAAGCACCAAGCTATAGATTTAAGAAGATTAAAAGTGAATTAAGTGGGGTTTTTTTTTGTAAACTTTGTTCTATATTTCAGGTGATGGAGAAAAAACAGAGCACCAGCACTTTGAAATCCGACCTATGAAAGATTCCTGCTACACAAAGCTGTGTAACCACTGGATTTCTCTCGTTGGGGTAAATTACTCAATACATGCAGCTCTTTATTGCATTTTCTATTCCCAGTTTTAAATAAGATGGCTTTTACAAAAATGAATAATTAATTTGAACATGTGTTTTCTTTCAGGCACTGAGTTCCATATTCATTATGTTTGTTATTCACTGGGTTTATGCTTTAGCAAACATCCTAGTTGCCTTGCTGCTCTTCTTCTACATTGGTAAAACAAGTCCTGGACTACCTATAGGTGATTTTTATCTGCTCAGCTTTTTAGTATATAAACATCAGTTTGTATTTTTGCACATTTAAAAAAAAAATCTGTACAAGATGTTGCAATGCTTTGCTTACTTACATATTCTGTTTAGATTTTTATCTAAAATAAAATTATTAATCTTATGAAGACAAATGTAATTGCATTTTCCTGTATTTTAAAGGGTTGATTTTTAGTGTCCAATTACAACCAAAAAGAATGTTAAGATGTTTTATAACTTCAGAGGGAAAAAGCAAGAATTTCTGCACAGAGGTGTAATTGAGGTTATTTCATTAATCCCACCAACTGCCTTATTTAATACAATTGCATGCAACAGCGCTTAAATTTAGTCACGTTCTCAGTCGTGCATCCAGTGTAGGGAGCTTGACTTGCACTTTCGTTGCTCAGCCGCCATGCAGCTGTTGTGGCTTAAGATTTCTGGAAAAGCTGAACGGGACACCCTCCATTTGTGAGTCACTGCGTACCTCAGCTGTTTGACTCACCACAGTTTAAAACACAAGTGCTCGAGCGTCAGACATTTGTCCGGCAGGTGGATGATGAAATGCTGCTGATCTCAAGAGCAGCCACTTTTAGTTTACGTGGTGCTGCTTGTGACACCCAATTTTATTTAAAATTTAGTCGATGTATTCTTGTAAATACATTAGAAAATATTGGACTTGGGTCACAATATGTACTGATTATTTTTGATTTGTTTGCAGGAATTGCAGCTCAGTTCAGCTTTTTCACATGGATTAAATCAATACTTAGTAGCATGTACAGGTAAGTTGTTGTGACTTCTTTATGTTCAAAAATTATTTGGTAAAATTATTTAAAACTATATTGTCAATGTCAAGGATTTCAAGGTTTCATTGTCAACATATTTCTCATTATTTTTATATTTTAGGAAGAAAGGCTCTCCCCGGGATGAAATCGTATTGACACCATCTCTGTCTGGGATCGGACTCAGAACAAAGCAACTGACAGAGGAAAACGCTGATTTTGCCTCTCGCCACCGTTATCACCAGTCCTCGTTCATCATTGCAGAAAATGTGGTGCAATCGCCACTACCCTGATAGAAACAACCGCTACCTTCAGTTCCATGTCACTGCTGACCGCTTGAAACCACATTTACTGCCTCAAACTGAGCCTTAAAGGTGGGAGTTGCACTTTGTGCACATTTTCTGTGGAGCAGACTCGGTGTCGTTCTCCTGGGATCTTCCTAGAAAACAAGCTTTACTTTGAGTTACACTTAATGAGTATGTGTGTTTGTATGAAATAAAGACCTCTGGTTTCTTGATGTTACATTCTAGGACTATTTTTGTAGGATTTAAAATTAAATAAAAACAAAAATTGCTAGTTTTTCCTCACATTTTCACTTAAATATCAAAATCTGTTCACTAGTGGACGTTTTGTCTAAGTTCACGACAGTGGAATTTGTGTGGCAATACAACTTGTGTACAAGTACGTAGTTTGATTAAAAAAAAATTACACCTTTTTGACATTAGATGTGACTTTCAAATATATAAACAAGTGCCTCAGAACTTTAGCAGATAAACACCGATTTAAAACTTTTGCAAACCTTTCATAGGCACTTTTTTCCTGACACCTAAAATCAAACAACATTTTATGATCAAGTGGGAGATGTTATAGCTTTAGGTTAGAAAAGTAAAAAAGTCACCAGGCTACATTGGGTAGAGGCCGGGTCTCCAGGCACTCGGTGACGAGCCCCTCAGGCCTGGCTCCAGGGTGGGGCCTCAATAACCCACGTCCAGACTAGATACACTGAACTAACTCCTTGTTGTTTTCTGCCCATATGAATCTTTGAATTTCTCAAATTTGCCAGTTTTTCTTTATTACAAAACATATTTAAGTAAATAAACCCAACTGCGTGATATATCATACGTGTTTTAAAACTTGATTTTCTTAATGGATGGATTTTTGCAGATGATGTGCACATTTACCTGCATCCTGACTCCAAACATGCCTTCTGAGTCGGGGGTGGTAAATTTAGTTACTCAAGGGTCCAAAGATAAAAACTTGGTACTGCCTGAATACTACTTTTAGTCCATATTTACTGAAACAAGATTTAAAACTGAACTTGGTTTTCAGATGTAACATATCAAACTATTCATCTATACCTTTTTCCAAGAAATACAATTTAGAACAAACGTGACATTGATTAAAAAATAAAAATAAAGTTTTCACTCTAAAGCTTTCTTAAATGGATAACTTTTACTAATTGGCCTTTATATTTACTGTATTTTCCGGCGTATAAGTCGCTCTGAGTATAAGTCTTATCAGTCAAAAAAAGCATCACCAAGAGGAACAAAACATATATAAGTCGCATTTATTATGCGTCACCGCTGACCCGTTGCATTTATTATGCATTTATTTAATGGTGAAAACAGCTTCATTTCGCCTGGGTGGTGCGGCGCCATTCATCCATCCATCACGGCCGGAGCCGCTAACTCTCCAGCGTTCCTCCACCTGCACCAGCTGAGTGAAGCGAGCATGCGTGGGAGGACTCATTGTTGCAGTTCTTTGAAATTTAAAGCATCAGTCAAAAATTGTTATGAATATGGAAACATACAGTATGTCGCTTTGGCGTATAAGTCGCAGGACTGACATTAGCAAAAACAACAACCCACAACTTGTATGCTGGAAAATACTGTTAGATGTAACTGAGAGCTTGTGTACACAATTTCGTTCCACCTCATGTACTACATGTGATGCGAATTATAATCATCATCATCACTTTTAGTGTCAAGTATTGTAATTAATTCAGTTTTTAATGGATTAGTTCCACAATATAATAATAATGTGTTATGTATTGTCATTGTATGTTCCCATACAATGGCAAAATTGGCTCTCTGCATTTAACCCATCCACCACCAGGTGGAGCAGTGGGCAGCTATGGAAAGTGCCCGGGGAGCAACTGGAGATAAGGTGTCCTGCTCAGAGACACCACAGGGGGTGTAATATATACAGTAGTTGACACATATTACAGGTCTTAAACTTGTCATCAAAACTCTACAACGCTTTACTATTTTAATCTACTTTTGTATAAATCTATTGCCACTATAATTTTGTAATCATAAAGCATTAAATCAAAATTATTTGGTCCTTATAATAAAGAAAGACACGTTATCAGACCATATAAGCCCAAAAATTGTACTTTTGTCCAAACCCTGTGGTCTGTTTTGCTTAAAGGTGATCGTAATTGTTGGATTTTAAAAGTTGCAGTTAGATGTCCAAAGGGAACCGTTTAGAAGTAACTTTGTCATTTATTATTATCAAGCTGCTAATTTCATCAGAAGTGGTGAAAGTGGAGCTCAGAGAGGAGACGCAGGGGTTTGATGCTGTGATTTCTCTTCTCTGGAGCATCTCTCTTGAGAACATTGTTTCTGCAGGCAGGTCCAGAACTTCTGGAAACGTCCTCCCAGTGTGTGTGTGTGTGTGTGAGAGAGTAAAAGTGTGTGTGTTTGTGGAGGGGCAGGAGGAGGAGGAGCCCCGCTCCTCGGCTGTGATAACAGCCTGCTGCCACAGTTTATCTTCCGTTCCCCGCCGTCTGAGCAGCGGGTCCCTCCGAACCTCAACCAGAACTTTTTTATGTGTTATTTTATTTAAACTCTACCCCCTAAAAAGAAAAAAACCAGCAGCTCTCCTCTCATGGTGGAAACTATCGTCGGCCGGTGAACTGGACTCAGGGTGGGAGGAAATCATGGAAACGTGGTTGGTGTCGGTGCTGGTGCTGCTGGGTCTGCCGGGGCCCCTCGGGGCAGGGCCCCCCGCCCACAACAGCACACATTCGGTAACGGACGGGTTTTTTTACTCAGAGGCCACATCTGAGCTCAGGTCCACGGAAAACGGAGCAGCTTCATCTTCATACTCCAGCGAGAGTTTATCCCCATCACAGCAGAACCTCCTGCTCACGCGCACAGCTGAAACACGCGCTGCTGCCTCCGGTAAGTGTCCAAACTCAATATTAATTATTTAGCAAGAATTACCTCAACCATCGATCAAAAGACAGCTCCAAGGCTATTTCTTCAAACGGAACAAGAATAAGACTCAAACCACTTAAATTCTGAGACGGATTCATTCATTCATTAAGCTGATTTACACAGAGTGGGGAAAATTCCCACTGCGTTTGAACTAAGCCCAAGACGCCTTCAGGTTCCTTGCTTTGTTCTGACAGAAACTCCAAAACTTTTAGTCTGCTGCTTTTAGCTCTCAAACAAAAACAATTAAAATTATTCCATTTAATATAAATTAGATTATGACTCATCAATGAATCGGTTACTAATTGCTTATTATTGTTATTATTATTATCAGTCTGCTACTTTCAGGTGCAAAGATGATTTTTAAATGACAAAGGTAATTGAGATATAAAGGATGTAATTTATGAGTATATCAAACCATTCAACAAGTTTATTAAATTTTAGTACTGATTACATCATCCTCATTTGAAGTTGGAGCAGCATCCTCAGCTGACCCAACCTAATGAAACACTTGTTTAAGGGAATGTGTTGTTGCAAAAACTGCATGCGATGTTTAATTGTTATTGTCTGCACCCAAAAGGCAAAGTTGTGGCAGCCATGGCTATCAACCTGAGAACAAATGAAAATGTCTCCAATTCAATTAATTTCACAGATATTGTGTGGTAGTAGCTAAAAGTCATTCCCAGCACGTATTCTGAATACTAACTGATCACGCAAGATTTGCTTATAAATATTTGACAATAACCAATGGAGTCAACCATTGTCTGTTAGCAAAATATCTCATGGACTACTGGATATATTTTAATGGATAATTTAAAACATACTCGTTGGATGAGTCAGTTAATTCCAAGATGTCCGCCACAGCTAATACATATTAGCTAACACAAAAATGGGACGCAGTCAGTTTTATAGGCACCGAGCTAAAAATTGAATGTGGTAGTAGTTGAGACTCATCCGCAACACATACTTTGAGCATGACATCTTGAGATCAAGTTAGACATTATTTTTATTGTTTGACCAAAACATCTATAATTCCATTATTTCTCAAAGATGCTCATAGTCTAGAATTATGGAATAAAGGGTGTCGGGTGATATGCATTCCTTCAAGGTATGCTAAAACTTTTATTATTACTACATGACATTCGTTAAACACTCGCACCACAGCTGGATTTGGATGTTTTTTAGCTTGCAGCTCATACAAAACAACCTACAGCTCAGCTGTTTTACTCATTTGGTGCACCAGACTAAAGAAAAGCCTCACCTGAGCAAGGTTTAGATCCAGTTGGGATATTAAAAAGAAAGAACACAGGAAGTCTTAGTCCAATATCATCCACCCCACTGTTCCAGAAACTGGTCTGATCTGTGATTCTGGTTCACAGCTGTTAAAGAGAAAGCATTATAAACGGAGCTCAAGCAGTTTATGTGCTGACAGCAAAATATTTATCCTGGCCCGCTGATGTAACCAACACCTCTGCCAGTGGGAAGAAAAAAGGTTTAAATCCTGACGGTGCGCAGGGAAAACTGTTCGTTTCTGTCAAGATGCATAATGGAAATGTGTATCATTATAATTTATTAACTGAAAAATTCATAAAAAGCAGCTCCTGTCACACTGATCTGCCAAGTTTGCTTACTAGTAACAGATTCAGCTTAAAAATAGAGCAGAGAAGAAACTGTAACTAATGATATTAATCAGTAGGCACAGCGGCTTAGTCATAAAAAAACTAAAATATTCAAGATCCTCATGGAAGGAATACATATCACCCACTGCCTTTTACTGAGATTTTAACTAAAATAGTCTTATGCTGAGAAACTGTTTTGATCAAACCTGGTAAGTAAACCCCGCAAGATGTGATAACACTCAGAGGATGTGTTGGTAATGACTCTCGTCGACCACCACATCATTTCTTAAGCTCAGTGTCTATAAAATTAGCTGAGCTGTAGCCATTTTTGTGCTTTACAAAGTCAGTTGGCTGTAGCAACTGTCTTAAATCAGGGTTTATCTTATTGTTTTTGGTGATAAAAACAAATAGCATTCAGAAAAATGTAAAGGTTGTCTTAGAGTTAATATGCATGGTCAATATATCATTAATCCAGCAATGTTCAGTCTTTTCATCTGGACGGTTTCTTTTTTTTTTTGCGCTAAGACGTTTCGCCCTCCATCCAGAAGGCTTCATCTGTCTGAGGAAACGCCAAGCAAAACTTCTCCCCCAACAGCTTACTCCAAAGTGGAAAAAAACTACGGTGGCCCTAAGGTGTAAATGAACATTTGAAAAAATGGAATTACATTTGAAAAAACGCAACAAAATCACAACAACATTTGAAAAAAATGGAATCGCATTAGAAAAAATGGAAATGCATTAAGCCAAACAGGAAGTTTTTTTTAATTTTTTTCTTACTTTATTAACAGCATAAAACAGAACAATAGAACAATATACAGTACACACACAATAGAGGTACAGTTAGCAGGCTATCCTTTTAACTGTATCTCTGTTGTGTGTGTACTGTATATTTTTTGATTGTTCAGTTTTATACTGTTAAGTCAAATTGGTTCAAAACACCAAAGTCCATGCTCAATAATCCAGGTATAAAATCCAACAATGTTCAGTCTTTTCATCAGGATGGTTTCTTTTTTTCTGTGCTGAGACGTGTCGCCCTCCGTTCAGAGGGCACAAAAAAGAAACCATCCAGATGAAAAGACTGAACATTGTTGGATTTTACACCTGGATTATCGAACATAGACTTTGGTGAATATATCATCATCTGCCTGTATTAATAATAAATAAAAACAACCAATTACCAGTATGCTCTGTTGAAAGCTGATAAAGTAAAAAATAAAATAAAATCAGATTTACCCTTTTAAACAGAGTCCAACTGGGAGCTGACCTAAACCGTTTCATAACATAAATCCACTCATGACTCAAAGACATATATGCTGCAAGGAAGGCTAGTTTTAAAATAATGAATAAAAACAGCTGAGCCGCTCATTTATATTCATGACGACACCCCTCGGCAACAAATGTTTGGACAATTTAAAAGCAGCTTGTCTTTTTAGGCTACAATCATCTGAGGTAGTGGATGCATGGAGTAAACATGCAGGGTAGTTTCTGCAGGATTTCCAATGAGAAACAACAGCACCCGCAACTGCGTGAGCAGCTGGGAGATAAACAGCCGAGGAACTGGGAGTGTCCGTCACTTTCTGCCAGCATCATGTTCCAGTGGAAGTTTTGTTGTCCAGAATGGATCCAAAAAGTGCAACAAATGAACGAGAAAAATACTCTGGTGGCCCAGACCTCCCTTCCATCGAACAGGCTGTTCTGCAGCTGAACAAGCTGGTCGTATGATGCTCTCCCTCCGAGCTGTAGTTCTGGAGAACGGCCAGGTGAGAGGCTGTCAGACGGCTCAGCATCAATGAGACAAACAGAAGAAGACCTCACAGTCCAACCTGATCACCAGCTCATCATGTGTTTTTTCATTCATTATAATAAGCAGGGATCTGCCCTTTAGGCTCTTGGCTTGAACAATGCGGTGGCCATTGGCATCAGAAGCATTTGTAATGTGGGAGGGACACACTGGTGGAGTGGTTTGGGGGTCCTCCACCAGAAAGTTTGGAATAAAGTACATGCCATTTGTGTATTTTAACAAGTTTTTTTTAAGCATCTACGTTTACCTACATAACTAAACACTTGATTCGATAACTATTTTAGAGAACAACAAGAAGTAGCGCTAAACTAGCGGCGCACAATACAGACACGCTAGCTAAGATGCTACAACGTAGCACTCCGCTTTAAATTACACAATCTAATAAATGCTTTGTACAAAATCACTTTATTGTTAACTGATCATAACAAGCAAAGCCTAAACTTATGTAACCATAAGTTACAACATTTATCTACATATAAAACACACAAAACAAAGTACAACTAGCTTTAAGCATTGGCCTTTAATTTAATCATTAACAATGTAATTATTACAGAAAATGGAGGATTTACCTGCAGTTACCTTCGTATAGATGAACGTTTCCTGTTTATCACTGTCGTTTTCTGCTGATCATGAGGTCGGCCACAGGGTTTTATCATCTTTTACATTTTTCCACACTTAATTTAGGTTTTTGAAATGGAATAAACTATATTCCACCCTCTAAACGCTCAGGGCAACGCTGTCTGAATTACATGTTCCCCACTGACAACGCTCAACCATTGTTCGGATTATTTTTTTCACAAAATCCCTCTGACCATAAAGTGTTCGCAAAGCAAAACCTCAACAATGTTGTTGGAGGAAAAGGGGGTGGAGCTCCTGCAGGTAAGGGGCGTTTACCTTCCCGACAAATTGAGGTCGCTGATTAATCAGTTGCTGACAAGCCTGCTGAATTGATTGACAGGTGGCGTTGAGGTTCCGACTCGTGCAACAAACAGTCCAAACCCGTTTAAGACTGTCAGCATTTATTCCATGTTTATTCTATATTTTGGTGAATCTAAGGTTTGAGAACAGTTTCTTAACAAAATACTAATGATGGTTTCTTTATTTTTTAGGGGTGCTGAGTTAAAATTTATGGGTGCATGAGCACCCCCAATAAGAGGCTAAAATCACCCCTGATAATAAGGATTCAATATTTTTATTCAACGTATGCTTCTTTAAAGGGATTTAATTCTCTGAATGTGTGAGCTAAAAAGGAGCTGGACTCTGTAACATGGATTACATTATGTTTAATTTAAAGTAAACGTATAACTATAATGGATGTAGCTACCATTTAACTTGCATAATGGTTTTTTTAGTAGACTTTCTGCGATGCATCCTCTTTAATTGTAACACTGGAACAATGGGCTGCATGTCATTTCTCTCCCCTCCGCTCTTCATTCCGTCATCCATCAAACGCCACAAAAATGCATCAGAATCAACAACAACGTTCTCGCAGTTACATTCTTTTCATTTCTGGTAGTGTTCAGGGAGTTTATGTGACCAAACGATCTTTATAGCAGGGTGAAAAGCAACACAAATACACACCCAGATTCATGACTGCAGGTTTTCTTTTTTTTTTTTTGTTTGCCTGTGCCTTGTTGCTCACTCAGCTCAAGGAAGGAAGTGACTGATTCCCAGCAGAGACTGTCACTTCCATATTTAGGAACTAAACCATTGTTAGGGTAGACAAACTGGCTGCCAGTTGTTCTCCACCCAGAATCACAGCTCATACCTCTGAGTTCACTCTACAGCATCTTCTCACTTTCTGCTGTATAAACAGGTCAGGCCATGGGTCTGCAACCTTAATGATCAAAAGAGACGTTTCTGCCCCTCTGCACACTCAATAAAATGTCTATGGAGCTGCAAAACCTGCTAAAACTGTGATGATCAACTGGTGGCTCATGGCCCACTTCAAGCTTGTTGGAGGGGGCTTTTTTTGGACAGTAGGTTTGATATTCATCCATCCATCCATTTCCTTTACCCGTTTATTCCATTTTGGGTCACGGGGGTCGCCGGTGCCCATGTCCAGCAATCACTGTGCGAGGGGCGGGGTACACCCTGGACGGGTCGCAAGTCCATCACAGGGCCACATAGAAACAAATGAGACAAACAACCATTCACTCTCTCACTCACACCTAGGGACAATTTAGAGTTATCAATCAGCCTAACATGCATGTTTTTGGTCTGTGGGAGGAAACCGGAGCAGGTTTGATATTATGAAACCAAAATATCAAATTATCTATTGATATTTTGATATATTAGGGCAAAATAAAAGACTGGATGTATGTAAAGAAGAAATATATATATATATATAT